TATTCCATGGTGTGTATGTACCAAAGTTTGTTTACCCATTCTCCCACTGATGGGCATTTAGGCTTTCGCGATCATTTTGCTATTGTGAATAGTGCTGCAGTGAACATGGATGTGCATGTATCTAATAGTGCCCTGGCTCTTATTCCTTGTTGATACACATCAAGTAGAGGGATTGCTGGGTCATACAGTATTTCTATTTCCAACTTTCTGAGGAAGCATTATATCGTTTTCATATTGCACCATTTTACAGTCCCATCAGCAATGTCTCTCCACACCCTCTCCAGCATTTGTTGTTTTCTGGATTTTTGAACTTTGTTATTAATGAATTTGTATCTCTCTAATGGCTAATGTCCTGGTGTGATGCTGTGTGTTAAGTAATGGAGCTGGACTTCAAGGTCAGTTTGAACCACAGGGTCACTGGTTCAAGTTCACCAGACATTCCTCAGAAACCTAACTCAGGGTCGCTATAAATCAGAACTGACTCAGTGGCACTTAACAACAATGGCTAATGATTTGGAACATTTCTTCACATGTTTGTTGTCTACCTGAATGTCTTTGGTGAAGTGTCTGTTCATGATCTCTGCCCATTTTTTAATTGGGTTGTTTGTTCCTATTTTTTCACTGAAGATCTTTATAATTCTAGGCTTTACATTAAAGTCTTTAATCCACATTGAGTTCGTTTTTGTATATGGTTTGAGATATGAGTCTTGTTACAGTTTTCTGCAAATGGATTTCCAGTTTTACCAGCACCATTTTTTGAAGAGACTATGTCTTCCCCATTTAATGTGTTTGGGCCCTTTGTCAAAGATCAGCTGACTTTATGTGGATGGATTTATTTCTGGGTTCTCAGTTTTGTTCCACTGATATATGTGTTTTTCATTGTAGCAGTACCAGACTGTTTTGATCATTGTGGCTGTGTAGTACATTTTGAGATCAGGATTTGAGAGGCCTCCAACTTTGTACTTCTTTTTAAGTAATGCTTTGCTTATCTGAGGTCTCGTTCGTTTCCATATAGTTAGTGACCAGTTTTTCCATCTCTTTAAAGACTGATGCTGGAATCTAGATTGGGATTGCATTATATGTGTAAATTGCTTTGGGCAGTATTGACATTTTCACAATGTTGTTTTCCTATCCATGAGCATGGTATAGTCTTCCATTTTTATAAGTCTCTTTTGGTTTCTTGTAGTGTTTTGTAGTTTTCTTTTGTTTCTCTGGTTAGATTTATTCCAAAGTAGTTAATCTTTTGGGTGGCTATAGTAAATGGTATTGTTTTCCTGATTTCTTCTAAGTATTCATATCAGATATTCATGTCAGATATTCTTGCTGTATGTTCTCTTTAGTCATTCCTTCAATGTTATTTTGCTTTCTTTCTTTTTTTTTTTTCAGTCATTATAGACTGATTTTCTGCTTTCTAACTTCCATGATTATCATTCTTTCTTATTACTTTCATCTCTTTATTCTTTCTCCTATGTATTCTGATGGGAAACCGGAATTTTTATTCTTTAAACCTGATTTGAGTTTTTCCAATGTCATTTCAACTCATGTGGCCTTCAAAACAGGTTTTAAATTTAAGGGTTTTTTTTTTTTCCCCTTGCATTTTTTTTTTCTCTCAACCATTTGCATTTAGGCATCATTCTATTTTCCAACCCCGTATCTTTTCTTCTCATCTTGAGTTCTCTTAAGTGCTTTTCCCTCACCTATGGAGGCAGGGTTGCTAGGGTCACTGTGAATCCAAACCGAATCGATGGCACTTAAGTTGCTATTATTAAGAACATAAAGTATAGATTTCCTAAACATTGTTGCTGTCAAGTTGGAAGCGACCCTATATAGGGTTTCCGAGGAGTGGCTGGTGAGTTTGAACCGCCAAGCTAGCAGTTCAAATGACTTTGCAGTCTGGTGAATTAACCCACAGCATCATAGCAGTCTTCCTGGTCAGCTTTAGCTCTAGCGGTTCCGTAGCAGAAGTTGAGTAAGAGACAAGAATGATTCTAAACATGGGGACCCTTTAATAAGCTCTCGGTTTTTAGTGCTTAATTTTTGCCAGGCATTGTGTGAAATTGGAAACTATCTCTTTTAATCCTCACTTTGCAAAGAATTATTACTGCCCTCATTTTACTTCTGGTGTGGACTACTGATGTGGCGTTGTGGGTAATGCGGTTTGGGCCGTAAAGGCCGGCAGTTCCAACTCACCAGCTGCTCCTTCGGAAACTCTGTACAGGGTACAGGGTCGCTATGAGTCGGATCCTGACTCCATGGCACTTAAAAATTAACAACAACATTTTACTTATGAGGAAATTAGCATTTTAAATGGCCACTAAAATCAAAAGGAACTCTGATAGCGTAGTGGTTACATGTCGGGCTGCTAACCTCAAGGGCAGCAGTTCAAATCGACCAGCCGTTCCGTGGGAGAAAAATGAGGCTTTGTACTCCGTAAAGATTTCTAGCCTCGGAAAGCCTATACAGGGTCGCTATGAGTCAGAGGGACACACCATTACCATCACCACCACTACCACCACCACCACCACCACCAAAACTAAAACCCCTTTAGTGGTAACTCTGAAAGTTGATAAACTGGCTCAGTTTACATCCAGACTGACTTCAAAGCCTACTGTGCTAACGACTGCACTCAATAATCTCGAGCGATGATTTTCCATAGACTTGTATTTTAATGCACCAGCCAGATAAATGCTCTATGTCTTTTGCTGGAAATGCTATCACTGCCCCATTTTATCCATCTATCGCTATTCACTAGGAGCTCTGGTAGCGTAGTGGTTACGAATCGGGCTGCGAACCACAAGGTCAGCAGTTCGAAACAACCACAAGGTCAGCAGTTCGAAACTACCAGCCGCTCCGTGGGAGAAAGATCAGGCTTTCTACTCCCGTAAGGATTTACACCCTCGGAAACCCTGTACAGGGTCGCTATGGGTCGTCGGAAACGACTCGAAGGCACTTAACAACAACAACAACATCGCTATTCACTAGGAGCTCTGGTAGCAGAGTGGTTACGAATCGGGCTGCGAACCACAAGGTCAGCAGTTCGAAACTACTAGTGGCTGCTCCGTGGTAGAAAGATGAGGCTTTCCGCCCTCGTAAAGATTTACAGCCTCGGAAACCCTGTACAGGGTCGCTATGAGTCAGAACCGACTCCAAGGCACATTAACAACATCTCTATTCACTAATCATTGAAAAGAGACGTTACCGCAGACCCGGGTGTGCCCACTGAGAACGTACAGCTGCTTCCATCATCACTCTGCTCCTACGCGGCCCTCCCGTCTCTCTTTGGTGGGAGTTGTAAAGACAGTAGAGCAGTTGTAACGTTTTTTACCCTGTGAGGGGTGTGTAGTGGCGCAGTGAAGGCCCTGGATTTGGACTCATCACTCCTACAGCGGGTGAAGGTTGCTGGCTGCGCCTGGCCTGGCCTGCTTTGCGGACTCCACGTGCCCGCGCGCTCCTCGCTGCCGTCGGTCTGCGTGGCGTCCTGGCCCCGCCTCCCCCCGCCACACCTCCCAGGATGCACCGCTGCGCACAGCGCCCCCCGCCGGCTCGGAGCAGCGCCTCGGCCTGCGGACCTGAGGAGAAGGTGGGTGAGGGGCTGAGGAGAGCGGCTCACAGGGAAGCCGGGGCCCGCAGGCTGTGTACAAAATGGGGCCGACCAGCGCTGGCAGGACCGCTTCTATGTCCCTGGACCCGGGTCTTTGTCCCCGGAACCCTGTCTTCTTTCCTTGTCCCCTCACAGGCCTGAGCGCACGTAGGCCAGCGCTGAGGCCTGAGCTCTGACCGCTAGGTCCCTGCAGGGTCCAGGGTCCCCAGGCAGCTGATGGCCCCGCTGGCTGCCCCCTGCTTCCAGGGCTCCACTGAGTGTTGGTCTCGCGTGTTGAGCGTTTCCAATCATAGTAATGGCGACGGCAGGAGAGTTGCTGGGTGGGTCCCTTCTCTCTGGACGCCAAGCTCAAGCTGGTAAATAGAAATTTAGCCTAGATTTGCTCTGAGTTCTGAGATAGGGATCTGAACATGGAGCCCTGGAGATTGTCCAAAAGCCCAGGAGGGCTGGGATGTAAAACAAGTACTTCATCCCCTTTGTTCCCAGGGCTGCAAAGCCACTTTGAGTACGCTTTGATCTTCTCAAGTGTTTGTTATTATCTCTATACCATGATTTAAAAAAAAAAAATACACATTAACAAACAAAAAAAACCGATGTTGTCCCTCCAACACTGAAACTCAAAGGTCCAACACATGAGCAGGCATATAAGATTGTTGGTGACCATGGTTGGTCAGTTGATGAGTGGAAGATGGGGAAAAGCAGCAATGAAGAAATGGGCTGACTTCAACCACCTTCCAAAGACTCGTCAACCTGGAGATGAGAGAGAAGAGGAAAGGCGGGGGTTGGTCCAATGTGTGGTGAGGCCTGGAGACATCTGAGCCCATGGACAAGGACATAGCCACAGAGGGCTAGAGCTGAGAGTGAAACATCCAGTTGATATGAAGTGAAGGGAGACACACAAGAATGCCCAAACTTGTAGATAGTACTCATTTGACCTATTCTCGATGGCTTGATGATCACAACTCAACTAGAGGAAGATAATAAAACAATATTTTGATAAAGGAAACAAGTGTAAATTGCTACAATTTGATGAACTTGCCCTATACTTATGGATGTAGTAGCTCAAAATACCAAGTAAGAGGGAAGGAGTCTTCATAGCAAGTATCAATCCTATCCCCTCTGTACACAGGATTGATAGGAATGGGCAACTTACACATTGGCTACCTAAAAGGAGAGGGTGATAAAGACATGAAGTGACTGGCTTACAAGTTTTTTAGAGGGAGTTTAGTTTCACAGTGTGCGGTGGGGAAGGTAGCGTTCCCACTGAATAGTTTTCATCTTTCTAGACCGGTCTGGTGAAAGGAGATTCGGATAAGATTCTTATGATTCAATAATGAATAATTGCTGTCATGATTGAGACTGTCACAACTGTAAAAGTAGAAGTTTTATAACAAATGGGGGGAGTAGTTAATCTTACAATCCAGGAACAGAGGACTCTAGGACCATCATGGGAGAAGAGCACAAATGGAATGTGGGGCCTTATCCAGAGAAGCAGCGACACCAGAGATGGAGGCAGAGACATGGACATGGAGAAATAGAGCAGCTGAAAAGTCTAGACTCATGGAAAGAGAAAGGTTGTGTGCTGGTGGCCAGGAGGCAGACCGAATATGCCCTTTGGTTGTTTAAATGATTATATATTCCTCACTGGTTTTGTTACATCCCCTCCAAAAATCTAAGAACAAAAACCCCACAGATGGAATAGAAGCAAATACTGTTGAATGATGATTCATGGAGGAGATTGTTATCATTGCAATGAAATGGTGAGTGTAAAACCGATATTCTCCCATGTAAACTATCACTTGATTCACAATTGAAAAAACTCAAAAACAAAAAATTGTTGTTGTTGTTAAATGCAGTCGAGTCGATTCCGACCAATAGGGACCCTGTATAGGGTTTCCAAGGAGCAGCTGGTGAGCTTGAACCACCGATCTTGCAGTTTGTAGAAAAAAAAAAAAAAAAGTATGTGGAGTTGTGTAGGTCAAACAATATAATTCGGTCAGTTTGGGCTTTGTTTAAATTGTGCGTAACCATCTATTAATGGGCCAGAAAACAAATTTAATGAGTCTAGAACAGCTTTTGAAAAGTAAGTTATTTAGATTAGAATAGACAGTAGACCTGGAGGTCTGTTGTGGTGCTGTGGGAAAAGCATTGGATGGCTTCAAACCCAGCAGCCACTCCTCAGAAACCCTATAGAGTTGCCATCAGTCAGAACTGATTCAGTGGTACTTAACAACAACAACAAACAATAGACAATATCACAATAGTAAGGAAAAGTATTGCCTTTGTGAAATTTGAGTTTCAGTTATGTATTTGTAAATATATCGTACTAGATCATGATATAATTAATATTAAGTCACTGTTCTTGCAGTAGTAATAACCTACCTTGAGTACTAATTATATAATTGAAGTTATGGAAGAGTCAAATGGTATTTTGTCCTAATTAGCTCTGTGTTTTACATTAATTTTACATAGTATTAGCATGGCATGTGTTTGGCTATCTGATCCAGCAGGTAAAGGATATAGATCATTGCTGATGTGGAGGAATGGAATGGTAGAATTGCTCCAATATGTGGGATCAGTCACTCTTGGGGGTTGCATATTATGGAAGCCACAAGTCATCACTTGTGAAAATATTGATGATTTATTGCTTCTACTATGCTATGTTTGACCATACAGGGATCTTTCTTTTACACTGTCTGTGCTAAAACTCACTAGTGTAATCTGACAGTCTAAGGGTTTTTTAGTATATAATATAATATAGTGGCCGCCACTCGTCTGTCCGTTTGTCCTACTGTGGTGGCTTTCATGTTGCTGTTATTCTGGAAGCAATGCCACAGTTTTTAAATATCAGCACGGTAACACAAGGTGTACAGGTTTCAGCAGAACTTCCAGACGAAGACAGACTAGGAAGAGATACGGACTGCTTCCAATTATTTAGTCACTGAAAACCCTATGAATAGCTGTGTAACACTGTCAGCACCAGAATACCGAATACTGAAATATGATGATGAGCACCAGAATATAATCTAATATGTTGTTGTTGTTAGGTGCCATCGAGTCGGCACTGACTCATAGCGACCTTATGTACAGCAGAACGAAACAATGTCCGACCCTGGG